CTCAACCTACCCTCATACAAACAAGGGCAGGATGCCTCCTGTTGATGAAATCCCATTTTCTAGATGAGTAAGAGTGGACCTGAGCGAGCAAGGCCTCAGAACAAGGTCACAGAAGAAAGGGCATGGAACAAGATGCAGAGCCTCTCAGAAACTGCCATCTGCAGGAAGTTCTGCCAAGATTTATGGAACCCAACCTCAGAAATTATAGAAGAATGCCTTGGTTCAGAGAAAGGAAAAGCTAATGGTTATAGAAGAGATCTGAAACTCTCCAAGAACCCAAATACCAAATAATGCTCAAAACTGTTGAGTGAACAGAAACAAAATATAAAAAAATGGATATAAAGTTTTAACGTAGATGTATAAGTGTTTCCTCGCCTTGCATCCTCTGTGGAAAGAGGATGGGTTCAACACATCTGTCAGCAAAGCCCACAGTTCTTGCAATTATCAGCTCACTCCTGGTATGTATTAGCTGCAAATCTACAGCCTGGAGAAGACCCCCACAAATACTTTCCCCACAGCAGGGGAAAATGTACAGCATACCACCAAAGGGCGTCACTGGCCAAGTCCCACACTGAGGTTAGACTGCTCTAAAGCATGGGGCTGGGTCCAAACAAAGCAGCCTCTTGGTTTATTACGATGCTGTGACACTGTTTCGAATGAACTAGAATGGAAACTGGCATTTTCCTATACATACCACAAAATTCCCATCCCAATGAGTCAGTTGTGGAGTCAGCCTACCTATTAAGAGCCCACCTTCAAGAACACGTTAAAACATCAAGCTACTTATACCAAAGTTTAGGAACTAGCCTTGTTTATAAAGGTATAGTACTGTCTTCCACAGGTGCCAGCCAAAGGCAGACTGCTGCAGATGACAAACAGGGATGCACAAATCTTTACAAGTAAGAAAGCCCCTCCTGCTGTTATCACTGGCTGCTGCCCAGCCTGGGGATCCTGCCAGCAAGAACTGATGAGCAGCAGCAGGTAAAACAGTGCATCAGTATCTCAGTCTGACAGGGTCGCGTTTTATTGTAGTATCTGTCACAACGCGCCGCCCCCGCCCGCCACTTCCCTTCCCTTCCCCTGTGGCAGCGCCGTGCCTCCGCGCCGGGATGGGGCCTGCGATTTGGAATTGAAAATAAAAAGGGAAAAAAGAAAAAAAACAAATCACGCCCAGGAAAATCGCTTCTCATTGGCTTCTCCTCTCCTTCTCTGAAATGAGGGGAAGCATTTTTAAAGGACGGAGTTACCATGTAAAAGCTTTCGGTGATCGAGATCGCGTGGTCGACTCGGCTTTCTGAAGCTGAATCACACGTTCAACTCAGTTCTATTATCAAATAAAACACTGACGGGCCACAGAGTGGGGAATGCTGAAGTACTGGGGACCAGTATAGTGAAGGCAACTGGGGGAAAGGCAAGGGGTGAGGCCTGGGTGAGGCACCTCCTGTTTTATCCTGTCAGGCAGCATCAAATCAGGAATACTACAGGAAAATAATACTTAGACCAAATGCCCCCACCCCAAATGAAATCTTCCCGAATGAAGGAGCTGAGCAAACTGGAATAACGTTTTTAATTTTTCTAAAATCGAGGCTAAAACTGAAAAATACTCCTCACGGGAGGCTGTGAGCTGGCAGCTCGGGTGAAGCCTTCCCACCCCTGGGGAGTCCCGGCGGCAAAGCGCACACCTTGGGTACGGGTCTGCGCCGGGGCTCCAGCCAGGCCGGGGCCAGCAAACAGCTCCCGGGGCTTGCCGTGGTCTCCTGGCCCCGGCAGCAACAGGCTCTGGGCTTCCAGAAAAGGGGCTCACGCCGGGCCCTGGTGTCTCCTACAGCAACAGGCCACAAGCTGGGGTGCTGCAGGGCTGCCCCCTGCGCTCATCCCCCCGCTTCGAATGCCTGTGCTGACCCGGGCCTGACCCTTCCTGCGCGTTTAGGCAACAGTTTTATTGTCAGGTAGGTTTCTAACATCTTTCCAGTTAGGCATTGGCCAGCCAAGGAATTTATTGCAAGGTTATCAAAGCCACTCGTCATATCAGTCAAGAAAAGCGCCATTATAAATGTAGCTGCTGGTCACAGTTAGCCCGCTGCAGTGCTATTGTCAAGTCCCGGAGGGGCTGCACAGGGCCGGGAGAGCCATCGCTCTGGCCTCTGCTGTCTGCTGGTGACTGGCAACGCCCCAGCCCTCCTCGCTAGCCCAGGGAGCTGGGGGCAGCGCGCGGGCAGCCACCCCTGTACACCTCCACCAACAAGATCCAGCAGTTTGTTCTGTGAAAGGATCACTGCTTACAGCTGTTGTGACCGCTCGATAACTGCACGCAATATCACACTCATTACTTGTCAACAGTCCATCAGTGAATTAAAAAAAAAAAAAGTGTTTGACTATTTACTACCTTTGGGGCTCAAAGGAAGCAATCAGCTGACAAGGGCTGTGCGCGGGGGTTTGCACACACTGCATTCGCTACACCATCTCTCAACAGGAACCACGCTGCCCTTAGAGACCAAAAGGAGAGTTTCTGAGGCTGGGGTAAAAACAGGGGCAAAGCTCGACCCTCCCTGCCAGCCTCCCCGCAGCGGCAGCTCCCAGGGCATGCAACCTCAGGTACCTACATCTGCTCCAGCTCCTCACGTGCGATTTTTCAGCATCGAGGTCCCCCCCAGCCAGGAATAAGCCCCTTGGGAGCTAAGCGCATGTGTGCAAGTGTTTGCAGGAGCAGGCTTTAGGAGTTGACCCAAAGCCTATTAAAGCCACCGGCACTATACCCTTTGATTTCAAGGAGCTTTGACTCGGTACTCACTGAACTGTCTAGATTTCGGTCAGACTGGTTTAGTTTGCCCCTGAGTGGGTGGAGGAGCTAATCCAATAAAATCACAGCCCTGAGAATTAAAACAAGACGGAGTACTGGAAAGGCGTGGTTATCTTGCATTAACAGAATGGTATTGTTACTACAGTGCTTTTTAAAGTGTAAACAAACAGTTTTTTTAATAAGACTTTCATAACTGGATTATTAATATATTTCTAGCGGTTTATGGCTACTGTGCTCTTTTTTTGTTCTAGCCTGGTTTCTAATGCGAAGCTCCACTTTTAACTTCAGCTTTTAAGCGAGTGCAGTTCCCACCGAGCAACTTTGAGACATGGGACAGACATTTCACAGGCTGTCTTCCTCTGCGTGGCACAGCCTGCAAGTACATCTCTAGCACCCAATTTGATTACTTCGTTACATCCCGACGGATAATAACCATACGGCACTTGTGCACCGCTTACTTCCCTGTGTCACAACCCAACAACAAACCGTTTAGTCTGGGCAGCAGCACTTCAGTGTAAAGCAGGGGGGAAAGGGAGTTAAAGGAGACGGAGGCAGGTGTGATGAGAATTTTGAGCTGGTGTTTATTTCTGGGTGCCAAAATGTGTTTAATATTTTATTAGCTGTGGAGTACGCAAGACAGCTTATTATGTTTGGCTCAAGCAAAGCAGTCAGTCTTTTTAAATGTGGAGCATCCACTTGAAATGACTACTACCAGGCACAGACCAGGCAATCGATGAAATATTTAGCTTGTGAAGCATTTCAGCATGAAAGGCTGAGGCCAGACATGGGTGCTGTGATGTTGAAAACCACGATGCCCAAATCTGAGGTACCCCAGTCCCAGGCATAGAAGCCTCAGAGGCACAGCAGTTTCCCAGAAAGCTGGGCTGCAGGGTCCCCAGGGTCCCCTACCCCCTGCCGGGGTGCTGGAGCCCATGCTGTGCACGGACTGGTTTGAGGAGACACAGGCACCAAAGCCTTTCCCGGGACTCAGTTTCCCAGATTGTGCTGCCTCTTGCACCCCTCTCCCCAGTTTGAGTGGCTGAAAGCACTTTCCTATAGGGGTAAGGAAGGCACTCTCCCTCCAGAAGAAATGTTTTGAATGAAGTTTGACCTTTTTGTTGTCATAAAATGTGATATTTATTTCATTAACTATTTTTATTAGTTATTTACTTATTAGAGTTTGCTAGATCTTCTTATAATATAGTCTGAACCCTCTAAATGCTTGGCATGCCCTGCTCTGTGTGCATGTGTTCACCCTGGCAGGGGACAACTGCTTGGATGTCCCCAGAGTGATACAAGCACTTTCCAATAATAAGGTGCATGCATCTTAAATACATTTGCAATGGGAGGAAGGTGGTGCAAACTGAGCCATGGAAGTTTCTGAACCGTGCTAGCGTTGGCATTGCTGGAACAGTAACCAGCTGCCAGACTAGATGATAGCTATGCTGAAGTTTCAGAGCAACTTCAGTAAGAAATTCCTAACCTACTACTTCTGGTGTAAAATTTGTCATTTACCAACCTCTGTAGCAGATGGCAAACATTTAACGAGTTTGTCCAAGGGTAACAGAATAAATGAAATCTGTTTTCTCCCTCCCTCTGATACAATTTCACAGTTCCTGTCCTCATCCTTCCACCTGCTGCCCGTCACGGCTTCTCCATGACTGCAAACCCTTCCCCCTCCAAGCCTTCATTTTCTCCTCTGTGTCCCCTAAACCCACAATATCCTACACTCGTTTCTGTACTGCTCATATCTTCTTCTGCCTGGCAATATCTCAGCTCCCTTCCATTTCATTCGTGCCCAATTTACAGCTTGCTTCCAAATCTTCTGAGCTGTGCTTTTTGGTTGACTGGGTGGGCAAAAAAGTAGCCTGTGCTCTGGTTTTGACTAGGTGCTGCCCAGATGGCCGGTCTGTTGGTGCTGCACACTGACAAACGCTAGGTCAGATTCTCCCTGCCTCTCCTTCAGAAAGCAGATTAAAAAAAAAAAAAATCATTTTCCCAAGTAGTGCTTAAGTTAATTTAAGATTTCATTGACATGAGATGTGACATTCAAGAAGGGCTATGAAACTCCATGGAGTACTGGATCTGTCCAAATCCAACTGCCAACTCAGTTTCTAGTCATTGGTTGCTGGCTGAACCTTAAT